TTATTAGTAAAGGGCTCTTTTTTCTTTACTTAAAGATCAAGTATAGGTCCTGACGTTTGGTTTAATTTTCATTTAAATATTTCCTTTATTGTTTTTCTTGGGAATGACACATTGTCAAATTATATTATATAGAAGTCACCATCATCATCAGATAAAAAGTTATTTTCATTCACAATGACAACTAGTTGTGTCCAAAGAAAATATTTCCTTATTGTTCTTGATCAAAATATTTTCTTGGTTGTCCTTAATCTTGTTCCAATTATCTTGTTTCCTTTTTGTTAAACAATCTTGATCTTTACACATTAAAATCACATCCTACAGAAAGGTGTGGAAGGTGAGAGGCTGTTTGACATGTTTTAATTATGTACTCCTTCCTCAATATTTGAAAATTAAGCATTTTGCCTTGGTTGATATTGAGTGTGTTCAGTATGTATGTGATTGTTTTTAAATGACTCGTGATGTTTGAAATGACAGCAAAGTTATGGATGTATTCGTTAAGGCAGCTGAGTTCATGGATATTCCAGTTCGAAGAGCTGATGATGAACCTCTTCAGGAACTCTTCAAACTTGTGAAAAGTGAACTGAACCTGGATGGTAAGAATGCCAGACAGGAACAAGCAAAATTTTGGAAACAACATCCTGCTATTGTCAAGGTGAAGTTCAAAAGAGATATAGCCATGAGTCATGATACTTGAAGCATTTTGTATTTACCATAAATCTCTTGTAGTAAGCTTGTTTTCCTTTCTTTTTCAGGCCGAATTGTTGATTCAAGCCCATTTACTTCGTAAAGCAGACACTTTCTCTAGTAACTTGCAGCAGGATTACAAACATGTGCTGCAGTTTACACCTCGCCTTCTCGAAGGGCTAATCAAGGTAAATTTGTGTGTTACTTTTAGTATCTTGCAGTTTTACATCTGAGAGTTTGTTTCATGCTATTATTATTCATCAGATGGTACATATGCTGACTTTTGGTACTTTGAGTTGAATTTGATAGATTGAATTTGTTACGGTCTTACGGAAGTACTAGGTTACTGGTGGGAAAGCTAATAGGCGGTCCAAATGGAAGTAATTCTCTTGTTTTTCTTGCTAAAAAACACACCACCGTTTATTTTCCAAATAGAACAACCACAACAAACACTCCAAAGTAAATAAAAAGATAACTATAAAATTGCCTGGAAAGAGAGTAAGACATTAAAAGGCAAGCTCAAACTGTAACATTCTTGGGAAACTGACCTGGGTTTGACATACATAAGCCAGTCTAGGTTGACAAGCTTTTTAGCAATTAAGTTTTGAAGAATTGTCTTAACCAAGTTTCCATTCTTTAAATTCTCCTTTCTGATCTTCAGCAATCCAGACTCCTACTTCTCGTTTGCATCATAGTAAAATGTAAATTTTGAGGGCAGAACGAAGATATTAGAACAGTATTTCACATTAATTGGCATATTTATGGCGGTTAGGTGGAAACTTTGGAAGATTTTTTTTATCAGTATTATGTGTTTAAGATAGTTTAGTTGATATCTTATAGATGTAGTTTTGAACTTATTTTGTCAAACAACTTTTCTTTTAGGTTGAGATGGTCTGATGTTATGCAGCCAGCCATCCATTTTTTTTTTGTACATGAATATGTTTTGCTGCTGTTCAGTATGTGTTGGCTAATTTAAGTTGACTTTAAACTTTAACTTTTGGTTTCTTATCTACCCTCTTTTTCAACTGACTTGGAGTTGGTCATCTTGTTTATTGTTCATGCAGATGGCAACTGTGCCACGCACTGCTAAGGGACATGGTTGGCTAAGGCCTGCAATTGGAATCGTCGAGCTCTCCCAGTGCATTATTCAGGTCTTTCATCTAGTGCTGTTTAAGCAATACTTCTGTGATCGTGTCAAATGACTTATTTACTACTACTAAAGTGTCTGTAAGCATAGTTTTGTCATTCAACTGCTAAAGTTTAGGTTGATTTAGCAAAGTCTTTACATCCATGAGGAGGTACTTTGATTATGTTTTGGTTAAAGGGAGGTAACCTACTATCTCTACATATACATGAGAGCAAATTAGATTTTACATGTTGACTAGACCTGGAAACTGAGTCTGGTTGGCCCAGGAGACCGACCTAACAGGCACAGAAAATGGGTTCCAAAACTGTCCCAGACAGGCTGGGCTGGTCCCAATTGTCTCCCAAAATCAATGCAGACCGGGCTAGGCTAGCTATTGGAATGGACCAGGACCGGGTGGGCTTGTAATAAAAAGTAACTTACCTTTTGATAATATTTGAGGTTTCAATTTGAAGACTTCTTTGAATAATCATCAGCTTCTCTGAAATCTTCTGCCGTTAATCCGAGTTGGCAAATGGGCGGAATGGGCTGAATTTTGGCAGGTCAAGACGGGTTGAGTTATTAAATGGGTGGGTTATTGATCCATTCAAAAGTTACTTTGGCTGAAATAGGTTGAAATGCGAGTCAAAACCCAACCTGCCTTTACTAATTTTTAATGCTTTTTTTGTTCTTTCATAAATTTCTTAGTGCCTAATAAAATTATTATTTTACTTTACGAGTATATATGACAAACCAAATAAAAAAAATGTCTTTTTAAAAAATATTTTGACAAAATTCTCATGGATTAATGTGGGTTACATATCAGCCCCAACTTTGATGGCCTGAAATTGACGGGTCAATAATCCGCCCAAACTTGGTCGGGTTGGTCGGTTTATGATTTCATGGGCTGATTTTGCCACATCTACCTTTAGTATTTTTTGAAGTTTCAATTTAAGATTTGTAAATAATTACATTTTACAATGTAAAGTCTTAAATTCTTCAAAATTATGAACAATAAGTTACAAACAAACAAACCCGGGGCTCTCCTAGTAAAAGCTAGTAATTTTGGGCTTTGAACCGGTTCCATCCTCCCTGGAGTTTTAACTGGACCAAACTATCCTAGTTGGTAGGTCACTGTCAACATGCCTCCTTTTCATTGTACCTTAAGGTGTGTGCGACCTCTTATTATCCGCATTAAGGTAAAAGCTTCAGATTTTCAGAATATTGAATCTTGTTCGTTTGTTGTGGATGCAGGCCGTTCCCCTTAGTGCTAGGAAGGCAGGTTCAGGATCCTCTGATGGTGTTGCTTCGCTTTTACAGCTTCCAAATTTTAATGATGCAGTCATCACAAAGATAGGGAAGAAGGTAAGCATCTTTTCCTATTCAGACATATCAGAGACGTTCCTTGAGAAGTTGGCTATAGACAGTTATTAGAAAAGTGTGGTTGTTTGCTTGCGAGTACATGCAGCATTCTTTCTTCTGTTCATATTTACCACACTATAATTGTTTAATCATTATTCAAGACATGGTTCTTGTCATAGTCATAATAACCTTTACTCTTTTTGGTCCATGGAAGGTGCGTACACTACAGAACCTCCTGGACATGACCCTTCAAGAACGTGCTGAGCTGCTTTCTGATGTTGCTGGCCTATCCGCTGCTGAAGTGCAAGACGTAGAGAAGGTGCTAGAATTGATGCCTCGTGCAACAATTGAAGTTACATGCGAGACTGAGGGTGAGGAAGGCATCCAAGAGGGGGACATTGTCACTGTGCAGGCATGGGTGACAGTCAGACGTGCTAATGGTTTGATCGCTGCTCTTCCACATGCTCCATACTATCCATTCCCCAAGGGAGAGAATTTCTGGTTTTTACTTGCAGATGCCAATTCAAATGATGTCTGGTTTTCTGAAAGTATCAACTTTATGGATGAAGCAGCAGCCATAACAACTGCTTCAACAATAACCGAAGCGAAAATGGAAGCATCGGGGGCAAATATGGAGGAGATTGCTGCTGCTGTTAAAGATGCTGTTGCGAAAGTTAAGAGAGGGTGCCGACTGATCTTGGGCAAGATCCAAGCTCCACAGGCAGGAAGTTACAGTCTAAACAGTCATTTGATGTGTGACACATGGATTGGCTGCGACACAAAGACAAACTTAAAACTAAAAGTATTGAAAAGGAGCAGAGCTGGAAGTCGAGGTGGTCATGTGGCTGGGGGAGTGCAGGATGAGAATGACGTTGAAGATGAAGACGAAGATGACATTGAAGAGGACGAAGAAGGTGATCAGAGCGAGTATAGCGAGGATGAGGATGAGGACAAGAATGAAGACGAGGATGATGAGGTTGACAAACCAAACAATAATTCTAATAGAAAGGGCTTTGCTAATGGCTCCGCTCGAAGAAAGGGTAGAAAGTAAGTTCCAAAGGCAAATCCGATTTGCATAATGGGGTCTGTATTTTAGTATATCTGTTGAAATAACGCTATTCATTTTCTAGAGTTGGCTTCTTGGCACTGAATGGATCACAATTTGTGAAGCTAGTTTAAGAGTTTTACCTAACATTTAACATGGTTTGGGCCAATTTTTATTCCCATTCTCATTTCTTGGATAATCTTCTTCTTGGCATAGGGATGAGGTTATAGATTCAAAGCTATTTGCTCCTTTACGGCCATACACCCATTTCTGCTGCAAAGGGTGTCTACTGGGCACGTTGGGTTGAATTGGGCGATTAGATTGGTCTGAACTCATAAATGTTGGATTACAGTTACTTGGGTTAAATTGAGTTAACAAATTATTTCTTACTGTTGATCTCTTTTTGTTTTCTTATAATTTGTTTAAGTACCTAATAATTTCATCTGTTTATTGTTGTACTCATCAAACTAAAACTGTTCTTTTACAAAATATTTTGGCAAGGTTAATATAGATCAATTTTGACAATATACCAACTCAAGCTTTTAAATGGGCAGATCAAAAGTTAATAAATGAACAAACCAGGGACCAGCCTGAACTTGGGGCAGGTTTTATCATCCTTGCTTACGACACTCATCTCTTGATATATTTGTAGGATAAAAATCCTTTCACTTGGTTCTTGCTCTCCTATTTCACTTGAATACGTTGCAGTTATGGGTTTTCCTCTTGGTTCATTTGACAATGAGCAGTTAAATTCATCACACGAGAAGAATCACAACAATAAATGTCGAACGAATGATAACTTTATAGGAATTCAAATCATTAAGTTGACATAGAGGATTCCCTTGTTTCACTAGATACAACTGATACTTCAGCAGGTTCACACTCTTCAGCGTCTTCGATTTGCTCTACATAATCTTCATTTTCTTGATCTTGTGAGTTCTCGTCGAACTCAGACTCATCTACCTCTTCAGAGTTACTTTCAACATCATGATCGTGAGATTTATCAAGATCTTTTGTTCTTATTTTAACCCTCTTCCCTTTTATGTATCGATATTCCCACTTTGGAGGTGGATATTTCTTATTTAATTTCTGGTACTTGTCCAACATTCCCAGTTTCTGAAAAACATTTCCCACCATTTTGACAACTGGCACAGTTGGCCTAATACCAAGCTCTTCCATGTCTGCGAATATCTGCAGATGAATAAAAATCTACATATCAGCAATGAAACAGACATGGAACACTAATTCAATTAAGAATACTATACATTGATGGTTCATGTAGAGGAAAAAGCTTCCTACCAATATGTAGTGTCAAATTGAAAGAAGAGTAAGAGAATCCCAAACAATTCCAACTGCTGTCAATACCTTCTGAAACCAACACAGTCGAAGCAAAAGTATGTAAAAACATTCAGTGGTATGGTGGTTTTCTCCACCTACACTCGCACTCTCACAAAGAAGCTTGCCCACAAGTCTTACTTATGGTTGTTGAGGCCCGTGAGCATGCCCTGCGCTAGTTTTGGCATTGACCTAATGCCAGAGCTCACTCTAGGAGAATAATTTCCCCGTGATGGAAGGTACCAAGCCTATTTTGTTGTTGGTGCAACACTCGTACCAATAACCCCATACTAGCTTGGTGTTGCCATAGAATAGCACTTACTTTCGCAAGCCAAATCTTAACTTATTTTGAAGGCACCAACCCACTTATCCAACATGGTTGTGAAGTATTCACTTTCCATCCATAGCAACCTCAAGATGGCTAGGCATACAGGGAATTCCCTCATGATATACAGTTATCGTCTGGAAGTGATAGGTAATCCACAATTGAAGAGTACAATAATTGTGAACACCATCACTATGTGAACACAAACATCAAAAGCTTAATCTATTTTACACATACAGGTTCTACTGAAATCATTCACTGAAGCCGTATTTATTATATGAAATACTCTTTTCGGCTTAGTTCTATTTTCCTTCCTGTATTTCTGTGCTTAGTCTGTAACTTCAATATATCAGATTTGAGCTAGTCTAGTTGTTGCAATATAAACAGTTCTTTTGGCAGTTACCATCCTCAAATTGCTTTCTTCAGTCTTAACTACCCATTCCCTAAGCACCCTAAACTCCCTCACATATAGCAAACTTGCTGCTATCTCTTATATATGTCATAGCAACCTCAAGGTATTTGTATGTGAAGAAGGCTGTGACGGTATTGAGAAATTAGGTTAAAAGAAGGGATAACACGAGGCACATTTAAGTTTCTATATGATATTGTTGACTCCTCTATCAAAAAACTAAACCAGGGTTTCATTCAAATGGAAAAACAAGTGTTTCTCGTTGTGGGAAGACAGACCAAGACCAAAATAAGAATACACAATGGTTCAAGTGATGAAATGTGAACTTCCTTTCATTTATTTGTTTTCTGAGAGCCACTTCTCTGAAATTTTATGTTTGCAATGCTTCCTTTGTACATTAGGTTTTACCACAATCCTTCTTAGACTACTATATTAATTTATTGCTAGCTTCTTAAGTTTTTTTTTAAAAAAAAAAAAAAGAGAAGAGGAAAAGCACACACACAATGCTTCTTAGTTGCCAAAGTCCTGTAGCATATAGTTTGAACAGTGCTGTAGCATATAGTTTGACTGTTCCATTACCATTGAACAAAATCACTTATCAAAAGGCACTATTCCAGGGAAATAAAAGAGAAGTACCAAGGTATAATTTTCACTGGAAAGAAACCAATTAATTGAAGAGAATGAGTACAGAAGCAAGAAAAAGGGAAGGGATAAAAAGTATAGGATACCTCAAACATCTTCTCATTCATCTCCTTGTGATAATATATGGCTATCATTTTCTGAAAGAAAATACGAGGCATGCTTTCCAGATTCTGAGAGAATAGTTTCAGCCAAAGCTCTTCAGCTTCCTCAAGTCTTCCATCCTCAGCCAAGGCGTTTAACAATGCAAAATAGCTTCCCATTGTTCTCCCTTGACCTTTACTCAACATCCACTTTGTCACCTATAATTAGATACCCTCGATTGATACAATTTAAACTAGAACCTAATAAGCCTTTTGAGGGATGAAAACTTAGGGCACCAGATAGGATGATACCTGAATTATCCTTTTCCACTCTTTTTCATTCTCAAGAATTTTTAATGCTTTCTTCACTGTAATCAAAGGGAACTCCAGTTCCCATGCAATGAATGAATCAAGCGCTCCGTAGACTTCTTCCTTGACATTTGATAATCCCTTTATCTACAAAGAGAAAATCCAAAAGTAAGCTAAAATTCTGTTAAACCAGACTTATATATTATATCATTATTCAGGATGCAGGTGCCTGTTCATGTTGGGGGTGATCAATAGTACAATTTCTTGATTATGTATGTACAGAAGGGAAACAAAGACAAGAACCTGAGGCAAACACTCATGTTAATGCAGAAGAAATTGAAACCTTTTTATCTTGAAATCATACCAAAAAAAAGAATTAATGTTAAAGAGAATCTTACACACTCAACAAGCTTCAGTGACTTGGAAATGGTCCCTATTTTCTTTTTTGTTTTCCACACTCGAGGATACCTTGGTCGTGGACCTTTAGCTTCGCACACCTGAGAAACATCAGAATATGACAGAGAGGTGACTTCAAGAGCAAGAAGAGAGGAAATAGAAAAGAGCAGTGTGTACCTAAAAGAGAAAAAGGAAGACAAGCAAACAACATTGAAACATAGAAACCCAAATTGAGCATATTTCTTTTAAACGTCTAAGTCAGGCAACCTCTGATTCCTCCTGAAGGAAAATTGAAGTCCTTTACAATAACAATAGAGTTTCTCTAAACTTCTACAAGTTTTTTCATTTCCAAAATATTAAATCCTTTTCTCTTATTACTTTCTAATAACTTTCAAACGTATTGACATTAGCACTGCAGCTAGCAGCTTAGCCTTTATAGAACTTACATAGCAGTGGGGAACAACGAATTTGTTAGGCTTCAAAAATATCTGCAGAATCTTACCACAACGTTACGATTATAGTTCTTGGGGAGCTGAACTGTTTCCTGTCTTCTAGTAGGAAAAATTACCGGAGAATACCTCAGACAAAGCATTCTCGGTGGGAAAGAAAAAGCATCAGTTGAAACTCCTGCAACACACCATTCAAGAATTAGATAAAATAACACTCTTTCCTCATTTTAAAACCTTATCCATACACTCCACACAGAAAAGAAAAATTATATTTTGACGAAAGGGTTGCTCGAATGGTAAGCATCCTCCATCTCCACCTCCACCTCCAACCCCGTGGCCGTGGTTTCGAATCACCGAAAGCAAAAAGGGTGGGAGGTTAAAAAGACAAATCTTTTTTTCTCTTTTTGGTCAATAACTGTAACCAACATGGTCCAAAAATCAAGAAGACTGTAAGATTTACCAGAAAATGCTCACAACTAATTGAGAGCTGAAAGTGAAACTGTATTTTAATGGCTTCCCAAGAACCAAGTCCGTTCGCACACATGGAGAACTGAGATATTTTCTCAGTTGGAGGGTTTATCCTAAGTGAACCATCAAATGAACCCCAAGGGCATTACAGTAATTACACACCGTTATTTTGGAAGGTGGACTCAGCTGTAGGGACGGTATGGGAGCAGACATGGAATCTTTTATCGCATATTGCTAATGAATAAAGAAGAAGAAACAAGCGAGCGCTTTCAAATGGATAAAAGATTGATGGACGAAGAAGATCTTTGAAAATCCCCTCTACTTTTTGCTTCTATTTCATTGATCTCTCCCCGTTAATTCAATTCCTCAGTTACTGAAAACTTGAAAAATGCTTATGGTAGAACCTGCCGCCGTCGCCGTTCGTTTCCCCGCCGGTAACTTCAACCGCACCTCCCGCCGGTTTTCTCACGCCGCCAGTTTCTTCATCCCTCGGTACTAGTTTTCCTTTTACTGTCTCTATTACTGATCCAGCTGATTATTATTATATACTAACAGTAAAAAGCACACAGTGCAAGCTCAAATGATGTTGTAAACTCGTTGCGGTATATGTACTGTTTGCTTGTAGGAATAAGATAAGGAGGTTGACAACGGAGTATTGTGGTGGTAGAATAAGAACGGGTAAGGGAAAATGTGGAATTAAAGCAAGTGCGAGAGATCAGCCTAATGCGAGTTCTGGACCAGTGAAACAGAATGCGAAGCCATCCAGGTATCATCCGTTTGAAGACATTTCGGATTCGGAAAATGGGGAGAATGAGGAAGCTCAACTGTCGCCAGCTGAAACTGCTAGAACAATCATTGAGGTACCTGTAAATACTATTGTATCATGCTTGCTTTATTTGATCGTATGTTGGAAGCATATGCTGTTTTTGAATGCAAATGTATAGAGATTTAGTCATTAGCTGTTGGAAATATTATAAAGAAAGAAGAAGAGAAAGTTTTGGATGACTTGAAGATTTTATTTCCTTACTGAATTATTGTTTCACAGTGGCCCTTGGAAAGCTGGATAGCATCCAGGGTCATCCATGATGGTGAGTGAGTAGTCATACAAACATCCAGTGTCAGGACATTACTCCCAGGCTCTCAATATCTTTCTGCTTCCCTCTACCCTGTCATGAGCAAATATAATACTATTTCCGTTACCACATGATCTTTAGTTATACACCAGAGCAACACTAACGGTTTCAGGTTTGGTAAATCGTGCATGAGAACTTCTCCTGGCCAGATAACTGATGAACTCGGATAGCTATTTATCACTGTAGCTAGTTGTCTTCAGAAAGCTAATATTTGTTTTCCTACTTGATCTGTAGGTAAACAGCAAAGCAACACTCATGTTTTCAGGTGTGGTCAACAATGAAGTGCAGGAGAACATTTTCTGGCCAGACTTGCCTTATATAACTGATGAACTTGGAAGTAAGCTGCTCAATTCTTGTCATTTAGCATGTTTTCCTACCACTAGTACATTTTGGTAGTTATGAAGGTTTATGTGCTTTGCCTTTTGGTCAGACATCTACTTTCAAGTGAAGAATGATGAAGACATCCTGCAAACTCTGACAGCTGAAGAAAACGTTGTGGTATGGACATTGAAGTTAAAAAGTTCTGTTTGTTTCATGTTTGCAGAATGGTCAATTGATGCATTGTTCATTTACATATTTTTGTGATTGGATCAGACCGAGCATACTGCCTTCTGTGAGTACTTCCAAATGATTGTGCCATGTGGCATACATGTTTCTTGATTAGTCAATGGTCTTCCAGGATGATATATACTAACCTTTAGCAGAAGCTCATGTCATCAATGTATAATGGTGCAAGTTGTATTATTCTAGTTTATCTACCATGCAGGATAACTTTGTCTGAGTAAAGAAACTTCTTGATTGTTGTTTCTATAATCATCTTCCCATGGAAAGACTGTTCTATCATGTAATTACTTGCCTGTCTTCAAATATCAGTTATTTTTAGACAAACTGGAAGTTTGCTTTTAAACATGTTTGATGGTTCCAACCATCTTGGAGCTCTTTTAGCATTTCAGGAAAGGAAAAAAAGAAGCTATGTGTATGCATAATGTTAGTACCTATAATTAAGCTGACATAAGTCAGTTTTATTAAATTTATCAAAAAAGATCTTTTTTGTTACCTTGCTAGGTTGTAAATGACCAAAAGTTGATAAGAAAAGAGTTCTGAATGCTTGCTTAAATTTCAAATACGCAGCAAGTAATTATTGGCCTAGATACTGCTGAAATGCTAAGTGAACTAGAGTCATTTGGTCAATCTGAAGTTGATTATGGCATAGATGATTTTGACGATGAGGACAGTGATATTGATGACGAAGATGACCTCGATGAAGATGACAATGATGATGGTGACAGTGACGAGGTATTTATTTATTTCAAATGCTGTACTTTTTAGAATGCGAGTACCTGCACTTTCCATTTAATAAATCAGTTTAAATGCTTGTTGACAGGATTGGGTTGCCATTGTTGATGATGAAGATCAGGATGGGGATTCTGATGGGTCATTGGGGGATTGGGCTAAATTAGAAACCATGCGCTCTTCTCATCCAATGTATTTTGCCAAAAAGATTGCTGAGGTGATCCTCTACATCATTGATTTCACGCCATGAAAAGTCAAAGTTAAATTTAAGAGAAACATTAAATTGATTTCCTATTGAGGGAAATCAGCACTGTTAAACATTTATTTTTCTGCACATGCTGGCATTAAACCTTCTGCATCTGCTATCTAATTGGTAATTTAACCCACTTCATTTGTCGTCTTTTTTGCTTCTCAGGGTTGTGACTGATGACCCCATAGATTTCATGGACCAGCCTCCTGCAGGTCTTGCTATACAAGGCCTTCTAAGGCCATCCTTCCTGGAAGAGCATACTACGATTCAAAAGCAGATATCTGAAGATACATTGAGTGACGCGGACTTAAACCGGATAGAAAAAGATGATGAACACAAAGAAAATGGTGGTGTTCAAATAAATGGCCACAAACATGAGAGTGGATCATCACTAGAGAACCCAAGTTGGGAAGAATTGGAAAAGGATGAGATCTTAGGAAATGGAACTTCATTTTACAAGCTAGAGATGATCAGAATTCAGTTAATTTCTTCCAATGGGAATCAGGTAACTGTGTGTAGGTTTTATGTGGTTCAACCCTTGATTGTTGTTGGTTAGCATTCCCTTCTTCCCTCTCCACGTGTCTCAGTTTAGGTAGTGCAATTTCTGTATTTACATTAATTATTTTGGTCATCTCGAAACTTATTGTCATATGGAGAATCATTGTGGACTTCAATAAGTTCTGATGGCACAGAGAGCAACAATAAATGAATATTTAATTTAACAAGTCAGGAATATGAAGGAATAACTATCATTAGAACAGAAAAAGGAAAAGAGGGTACTCTTTTTCATTCGATTTCTGAACAGAAAAAATGTCTATCCTGAATTATACAAGTTTGTATGCCAAGTTGATATCTAGTTTCAGAAAATTGACTCCATAAGCAGGATTCTGAAACTGTTTTGTGTCATGGAGGATGATAAATGATGTGATAATTTCACTGTGGATTTTCCCTACCAAGTGAATCTCGTACACAAGATCCATGGGATGTTCTTTTTTTTTTTTTCTCTTTCAATTGTTTTAAATGAAATTTGACCAGTTCTATATCGGCATTCTTTGACCATTTTCTGCTTGTGGGAGATTCATGTTTACATAATCACCATTATTCAGGGATTACCAAGTTGATGTTTTCTTATTTTGGTGCTTACAGATCTTTGTTGAGTTAGATGATTTTAGGAGAGCTAGGTCTGATGCAATTGTACATTCAGCTGCCAAAATAATATCTCGGCTTAAAGCTGCTGGAGAGAAGACTATGCAGGCGCTTAGATCTCTCTGTTGGAGATGCAAGGGAATTCAAGTGGAGGTAATGGTCCTTCAGCCTGTATTTCAGATTCAAATATTGTTCTGAGATCAGTAGATTTACTTCTTTTTCTATCCTCAGAAGTTCATTGCTGTACAATCCGGGGATTGGTCTACAGGGAATTTTTTTAAAAGAAAACCATGCAACTCAACCTCCCTTTGCTCATGCGCTGGAGAATATTTTAAAAATATAAGATAAGAAGAGAAACCTGAACATGTGATTGGAAGATAAAATGTCCGAAACCTAAAACAAACTTTTTTCCTGATAACAATGTCTGGTATTTTAGTCTTTGTTTACGATGGAAATGTGTCTTATACTGAACTAGATCTTCTATTAAGTATGATGCTAGCCGGCGTATTCATCTAGAGTTTCTTCTTGCAATTTATGGCAGGAGGTGTCTCTGATTGGTGTGGACAGCCTTGGTTTTGACTTGAGAGTTTGCTCTGGAACACAAGTCCAAACACTTCGGTTTTCATTTAGAAAGCGGGTAAGATATTGTAATACTTTATCTTCTTAGGAGTTTTGGGACTCCATAATTTCTATTCTTGTTGAATATCTATTGTATCGTAAATGAGTTCCTTCTTTGTGGATCAAAGTCCTTGACATAAACTGAAAAACAGACCCATTGAAGTGTGTGGTCACGACACCTAAAAGATTACTCTGATAAAGAGGCATATTTATGGCTTGCATACCTTCAGATGCATGCCTGATTCATTGTTATTGGCAAAACATGTGTGTTTTTTCAATAAAGAGTGGTTGTGAGAAATATGGCCATTAAGGATTAATATCTCTGACCCCAAATTGTTTGGGACTGAGGCGTTGTTGATGTTAGAAGATTGACAGTGAAACATGAAAGGAAGACTTTTACATGCTGTGATGTGAACATGAAGTATGTGACCACTTTATTTAAACCCCAAGCAATTAGAGAGGGCACATATATACTTACTCAATTATGTCTTCAATAGCCAAAAATTGAAATTTAATGTAAAACCACTTAGGGGGTATCTTATGTGAAATTTTTTGAAAAGCCAAATTGAATAAGGAAAAGGGGAAGGCAACCTACACATACATTTTCTTAATACTAGTTTCTACACACGTGCCTCGTACGTGTGTTTCATGTGAATTTTTATAGATACATTAGAATGACTAAAATTTCATGGAAATATATATGTAAATTGTAATGAATAATAAAATGTAACAATTACCAAATAAGAATAAAGACTTACGGCAATAAAACATTCATAGAAAACTAAATTAAGAAGTCTAATAGAGAAAAAAAAAAAGACAAAAAAACAGATTTAAGAAAAAATACAACGTAGACATTATTCTTATAAGACTGATGTATATATAGATGAAAAAATAAGTACAAAATTAGTACATAACTCTCTGAATTCGTATGAATTCCTTCAATATCTATCAAAATCCAAGAGTCTTCTTCATTTACTTTAACTATA